CTTTATGGATCAAATTTGAAATTTCAAAATTTGCTGCATTTGGCTCAAATACATACATTATTTAAAAATCAATGTTTGTATTTAAGTCAAATAAAAAAAATTTGTGGTTCAAGTTTAACAGCAAATCGACTGAAGGTAATTTCTTGTAATAGTTTGTTGCCAATTTTTTAGCATTACTGAAAAAATAATAATTAGATAATTGAAAATATATTGATAATATATTGATCTGTATTATATGTAAAATTGCATATCACTACTACATGATATCAATTTATTTGAATTACTAGATGAAATTTGTTAATTTATTGTAAAATCAAGTTTAAACTAGTAGTGAATGGCATCGTGTCTTAAGGCAAATTGTTGGAACTTTCCGTACCGTAATAAAATATTCGAGAAAAATTGAATGTTTTCAAATAAATTATTATTAAGTACTGTAACTTATGTTTATTCACAAAAAAACTAAATAAACAACACTTAATCAATCGAATTTGAAATGTAGGAGTTAGTGTAATATTTATAAGAATTATATAAACCTAATTGCAAAGTTAAAATTATTTATTTAAAGTATATTAGTTAGCTTTAAAACTTTAACTAGAAAAAAAATTAAACTGGATTTTTTTCAAATTTTTTCCTCAAAACAATCGTTTCGTCAACATAAGCAGAATGTTCTTTGAATCATTCAAATCGGATGTTTAGTTCTTTCAAAAACTGCCATTTTTTGCATTTTTAGCTCGGTATCTCCGAAACGGTTGGACATGCCTTTGTCAAAAACTAATGACCACTTCTCCTCGTTATTACGAATTAAATGTTTTTGTATCATTTAAATCGGATGCTCCGTATCTCTTTGCTTTATATCTCCGAAACGGCTGGACCTGCCTTAGCCAAAAACTGATTAGAACATCTCCCTATCAATAGTTATCGAATGTTTTTTGATCCGCTCAAATCGGTTGATCCGTGCGCCCGAAAACTATATATCCTTGCCGATCTGATTTCAGAATTGGAATTATAGATTTATGCTGAATTATTTATATTAATGTATTTAACAATGATACTATCACGTTAAGAGGCTACTTACTGTATGACTTATTTTTAATTTCCTTAAAAATCATATGGGTAATTAACATTTGGAGACTCAGATTTTGATTGAAATATATAAATTAAATATTAAGAATCCATCTTTTCCAGCTTTTTTTCATGTAAAAAACAGTAATGTATTTAACTTCGTTTATTATTTAAAAAAAATTGATGAAGTTTAAATGTAAATGAAATTCAAAATACGTATTAGTAAAATTAGAATACAAACTTATATAAATTATGTAAATGGCTTATTTGTAAATATCAAATAAATTTATATAAAAAATAATAGCATTATTAGGAAATTGATTTCTATCTATATAAGTATTTTAATTTTTTTTTGGATTCAGAAAAAATTGAAATACGGAATAAAAACGTGATATGAATAATTATTAATTATATACGTCAATAACAAAATAAATAATTATAATAAAAGGTATTTGAGAATAATTAGTCGATTCGTCAAAAAAAAAAGGAGAGATGAAACAAATTTGATTAAATAAAAATGTACAAAAGTTAGTTAGAAATTTATTTCAAAGATAATATCAGTCGGTTAAGTTTTAGGGTAATTTTTATTATAAGTATATACATTATTCCAACTATAAGAAAAACATTTGAATTATCACGGAATATTTAATACGTATTTTTTATCGTGATGTATGTGAAAATTATACCAATGGTCAACGTGTGTGGCAAACAAAATCGATAGCTTGTAGATTTAGATCGACAACTCCTGAATACTATAAGTTTTCCAAATATTCACCAATAAATATTATAATTTTAAAATCAACAGTCATTAGCCTTTGGTCTAATTTCCCTACCATCGTGTGTGTTCTCACACCGGTCGAATATTGTTTTCATTTCGCCCAGAGCAGAAAATAAACAATATAACCTCGCTATATAACGCCATTTCTGGCAAAGTGAATATAAATATGTTTATATTTGAACAAATTCATAATGAACTGCTGCACATTTTGTCTATGCGAAATAGTTCGCTAATGATTTGTTGGCAATTAAAATAAATTATGAGAGAGAGCCGCCCCGAGAGTAGGTGAATTATTTAAAAGTTGCCTTATGGAAAATATGGGGCTTGTTTGCATAAAGTATTTATGGTTAAATCGTTAGGAAATTTATGAGGATTTATTATTGTGCAAGAAATGAATTGCACGGGCACCGATGATAATAATAATAAATTTTATGCGAACATTAATATATTAATTTATGCAGCAAAAATACTAACTTGTCGTTTTCCATTGGTTGCATGAAATTTTATAATCGAACCTCTTTCAGCATATTTTTTATATAGAGTTCAGATATAACATACTAAAAATAATTAATTAGATAAAATTAATAGATTTTAAGTAAAATGGTGACTTGTTGGATTCAAATATTTTTAGGAGTTGTCATATAAATTTAACGTTCATGAATTATAAACTTCTTGATGGGTAGTTACAGTAATGGGCCGAAAATCGAAAATGAAAGTTTTTGCATTTCTCCACGTTTTGAAGTTTTCTGAACATTATGACATACCTCAGAAGAAATAGATGCGTGTGTGTGTGTTTTGTTTGTCCGCATTTTTTCGTCCACGTTTTCGGGAGCACGGATCAACCGATTTGAATTGTTCCAAAAATATTCGATTCCTATTGATAGGGAGATGTGCTGATTAGTTTAGAGAACGGAGTATCCCAATTGAATGATTCAAGAAACATTCAATTTGTAATAATTGGGAGAAGTGGTGATTAGTTTTCGGCAAAGACAGGTCCAGTCATTTCGTAGATACAGAGCAAAATGTACAAAAAATTGCAGTATTGAGAGAATTAAGCATTTGATTAGAACAATTCAAACAACTTTCTGCTAGTTTTGGCAAAATAATTGCTATTGGAAAAAAAATTGTTCCAAAATATTTTTTTTTCAATTTTCTTTTTCAAAAAAAAAAATTATTTGTATATCAAAAATAGTTCAGATTTTAGTTTTAATTTTGGATAAAGTTCTAAAGCTCAATTATATACTTTAAATGAATAGTTTTAATATTGTAATTTAGTTTATATAATTCTTATAAATATTAGACAATGTTACAGTATTTATTTATAATAATCTATTTGAAGACATTTATTATTCCTCGAATATTTCGATACGGTACGGGAAGTTCCAGCAATTTCCCTTAAGGCACGATGGCCACTAGTTGTATGTTTTATTTTCTTTTTTCTGTTATATGCATAAGTATGTATTAAAAACAAAATACATAATATTTTCATATAAAACTTGAAATATTTAACTACAAAATAATTCACAAAATATTAATGTGAGCGATAAAAAATATGTGGCCAAAATTAGTAAAACAAACATAGCGAATATTAAATTTACTATTCTCTTGTACTATTTTCATACCTTTCTAAATCATATTTTTATCATATTTCTATGTAGATGTCTCCTTTAGAATGTAATTCAAATTATTATGAAATAAAGATTAAATATTGAAAAAACTGTCTTCGTGTCTCGAACTAATCGGACCAAATTTTTTTAAAGAATTTATTTGATTTAAATGATTCGAAAAATATTTGATACCTTATTGATTTGGGTGATTAGTTTTTGGCAAAGACAGGTCCTGTCATTTTGGAGATACGAATCAAAGAATGGTAGATAGATAAATATGTAGATATGTGGGCAGGTAAACAGGCAAACCGTTTCTTCGTAATTAATTGTTAAAAAACTTTTTTTATACAATTTTTTATTATGATAGATATCATGATCCTAAAAAAAATCCTAAATTTTTAAACTTTCATATTATATTGATTTAAAAAATATCAACCAAATTATGGTACAATATGTTTGATTTTGTTGCATGCATGTCTCAAAATATTTGTAACTACTTTGCTTCTGCATGTAAAACTAAGGATCGCACGCGATTGAAGTAAAACTTATTTGCAACTGTACAAAGAAGCAAATTTAAGTTAAGTAAAAATAAATACATCATATAACTATTTTGAGTAATGTTTATTAGTAATATGGTAACACTCGTGATGGAAACATTTTTAATGTCAACCAATAATAGCATAAAAATATGTGTAATATTTGAAAACAATAATGTAATTAAAGTCATACTTCAAATGTGACATGATCGGTTTGTTATTGTAATTAGCATTTAGAAATGAACCTTCATTAGAGAAATGAAGTAATTGCTGACTAATAAATTCTATATTATTTTTTCACACAGTGGATTATGATAAACAACGCCTAAACAAATATTGTTTTCGCAACTTCACTCATTATGTAATTGTGTTTAAAGAACTTCATGTAATTAAAATTAACATACATTCATTGACTGCTTATATTTTTTTTTACTTTTTTTACTTTTTCAACACTGAACAGCTGTAATATCTGTCTTGCCTGAAAAATATTTTCAAAAGATTTATAGAAACTACGAATAATATAGAAATAATTTCTAATCAATAAACTTACGGCACAAATGTTCAATTTGTTTTTTTATTTTCAGTATAATTATTTTCAAGAAACAGAGTAAAATATTCTTCTGATTCAGGCATTTTTCATTAAATCAAGATTAGTACTACGATGTAACTTTAAAATGTTCATTTATCTATGCCGATTTCTTTGTTTATCCGTATAGAAATGATATCATCGAATGCACTCCGTTCCTTCAATAATTTTGACAAACTGATAATAGTAACATTATTTTATTCGTTTAATTGGTACTACCATTTAAAATAGTATTTAAATTCGCTCATCAAAAAATTTTGCATATAATATTCAACTTGTAGTCCTTTGAGTCCTGCATGTGGACCTAAAAAATACAACAAAATCCTTCGTCTAAAACCAAAAATACAATTTCCGACCACCATAAAATACATCCTTATCGAACCAACTATTTTCTCTGCTAAATTTCTTAACTTCTTTCTATTTTTTTTCAGATACTATAAGTGTGAATGTGCGCGAACAAGTCACCCTGAGCTGTCCTCTCGATCTGAGGGCTTGCGGCCGCCTTCACAGCGTCAAGTGGTACCGCGGCGCCGACGGCAGGAACCGCATAGCGGTCTACAGCGACGATCTCAAAGTCAAGAACACTGAGGGACCTCAACAAGAAAGGTTAGTGGATAGTAATAGTTAGTTAGTGGATAGTGGTAGTAATATTGGGATTTGAGGCAGTGGCGGATCCAGGGGGGGGGTCACGGGGGTCATGACCCCCCCCTGAGCCTGTTTTAGGACTTAGATAAAACACTAATTCAACAACAAAATTACTTCATAATGATTTTATTTATGTATTTTGTTACCAAACACATTTTATAACTTGAATATTTAACTTATTATAGACGAATGACGGAGTCCAAAACCCTAAAATTTAAGGATTTTCAGGAACAAAATTTCATTCAAAAATCAAAAAATTGAACTGATTGTGAGTGGTCCTTATGCATGAACTTTCAGTAATCCTAACATCTGTAAATAGACGACTTAATCAATATGAAAACTAGTCGGGTGTATGGCATCGTGCCTTAAGGCAAATTGCTGGAACTTCCCGTACCTTAACAAAATGTTGGAGAAATATTAAATGTTTTCAAATAGATTATTATAAGTATTGTAACAATGTCTGATATTTATAAGAATTATTTAAACTGAATTGCAAAGTTAAAACTATTTATTTGAAGTATATAAGTTTTAAACTTTAGTCAGAATCAATATTAAAATCTGAATTATTTTCCATATATAAAAAAAAGTTTAGAAAAAAAAATTAAGCCAAATTTTTTTTCAAAAGCAATTATTTTGTCAAAACAAGCAGAAAGTTCTTTGAATCATTCATATCGGTCGCTCAGTTCTCTCAAAAACTGCCATTTTTTGCACATATAGCTCAGTATCTTCGAAATTGCTGGACCTGCTTTTGCCAAAAACTAATCACCTCATCTCACAATAATTACAAACTCAATGTTTTTTAAATCATTCAAATCGGATACTCCATTCTCTCAAAAACTTGATTTGTATTATCTGCACTCTTTACTCCGTATCTCCGTAACTGCTGGACCTGTCTTTGCAAAAAACTAATTGGCACATCTTCCTGTCAATAAGAATCGAATGTTTTTTGAAAGATTCAAATCGGTTGATCCGTGCGCCCGAAAACGTGGACGAAAAATTGCGGACATACAAAACACACACACACATCAATTTTTTCTGAGGTTTGACAAAGTGCCAGAAACCATCAAAACGTCGAGAAATGCAAAAAAAATCATTTTAGATTTTCGGCCCATTACTATAACTACCCTACGGAAAGTTAATAATGACTGATTTAGAGAAGTATACCAAATCGCTGTAAACCATTTCGAAGTGGGAAACTATTGCAATTTTTTTTTTCAAACATAGTAGTTTTAACTTCCCGAAGGAGAAGTTTACGTTTTCATCAACAAATCCGATTCGCTAATTTTGTTTTCTCGACGTTTCAAGCCATTCTGAATCGAATGAGACCAAATTTGGAAAAAATATGTGTGTGTGTATGTGTGTGTATGTGTGTGTGTGTGTGTGTGTGTGTGTGTAAACAGATTTTTTGCTGAAAATCGGCGTTTTCTCAAAAACGGCTGGACCGATTTAAAAAATGTAGAAGCCATTCGATGTATCGCGATGAGGACTAGTGTTTATCAATTTTGCGCGACGGCCAGCCAAGTCGTTTCTTTGTAAATAGCAGAAAAGTGAAAAATTTTTCGTCCACGTTTTAGCCCGCAATTATCAATCGATTTTGAAAATTCAAAAACCGTTCGAAAGATATTGATTGGGAATCGTGCTGATGAGTTGTTGGTAGAGATCGGCCTGGCCGTTTTCTTGTAATAAAGTGTTGAAAAATTTTTTTGACGGTAGATACCAAAGTCTTCTAGATAATACAAATACGGCCACACGACAACTCGTTTAGCTTTAAAAATTTGTCAAAGTTTGCAAAAATTAGTTTCGTTTTTTGGCATTTGTCAAAATTAGACTTTTCATCGACGATTGCTCAAAAACGTCTGGACGGATTTCAGAAATTTAAAAACCATTTGATGTGTCTAAATGAGGACTAACGCTTGTCAGTTTTGTGCGACAATCGGACGAGCCGTTTCTTTGAAATTTTGAAAAAAGATTTAAACTTTTCGTCCACATTTAAGCACAAAATACCGATTCGATTTAAAAAAATCAAAACTGTTCGAAAGATATTAGTTGAGAATGAAACTGATTAGTTTTAGGTGAAAATCTACCGAGCCGTTTGCTTGTATTTCGTCGTTGAAAAAAATATTTGAGCCGATTTTTATGAAACGTTTTTTGATGATATATATCATGACAACTTATACAACTTATTGAAATATTACGGTCTTACGACAAGTAGTTTAATTTTGAAAATTCATCAAAGTTTGAGAAAATGAGTAGTTTTTTTGACGTTTGTTAAAATTAAAAGTAGACGATTTACTTGGTTTATCGATAGAGTACTTGGTCTTAATGAACATACTAAACCATTAAAATCCTACGGCAACTAGTTCAATTATAAAAATTATTGAATTTTGAAAATTTGCCTTTAGAAAATACTCCGAGTTAATGTCGTCGTTTTGTGTGTGATATTGTAAATCCACTGGGAATACCTTTAATCCCTCATAAATTAATTCATTTTTTACTGAAAGTCGATTATTAACAAATGTAACTTGCCTAAAGGCAAAATACCAATACAAACTAGTTAAAAAATGGTTTGAATATTACACATTGATGGAAAACGAACGCATACAAAATACGAAACCGAATACATACACACGGTGAATTTTTTAGAAGCCAAAACCACTTGTTGCAGGCCTTATTATAGTTTAGCACGTTCATTTAGAGTAGAAAATCTATCGCCATGCAAAGTTTCACTTAAATCGTCAAAAAATGTGACAATCTATTATGAAAAAGAAACGACTTGACCGATCTTCGACAGAAACTATTTATTTCCAAATGATATCAATCTAATAAAAAACGGTTAAGAATTTTTGACAAAAACATGGACGATAATTTTTGCACTTTTCTGCAAATAGTAAAGAAACGGATCGACCAATTGTCTCAAAAAACTAATCAACGCAAGCGCTTATCCAGTTTCATTTTATAGTTTTTAAATTTTAACATCGGTTTAGACGAGAAAACATCGAAGAAAGGTCGAATTTTGACTCACGTCAAAGACGCAGATTATTTTTTAAAAAATACACATACATAAGGTAAGGCTAAGTAAATTTGAGCAATTATATTGTGAAAACTAAACGAAAAACATAACAACCAATAAGACACATTAAACAAAAAACCGTCTGACTATGTTTTAGTACAACCTCCAGTTAATTCATCACTGTAAAAATGTGTTTTTGGCTGTTTTTAAAAAATTTGTCACTTGGTCTTTTTTTACCCCAAAGGCGTGGTAAAATCGGACGGCGAGAGGACAAACAATCCAATTTACTATTTTTAATTTTAAAGGGATTTAACGAAATAATAGCTACATTACTCAAACAATGAAAAATATGAATTTTATAGATACATTTTTTACAGAGATAACTCTGTATATAATCTTGATTTGATATTTTGTCCAAAATAGTCACCAGCAGAGTTGAAATGCAGATTTATTTAATTTATCTTTTGTAAAAATGCTTTTTTTAACGTCGTAAGAGTCAGGGTGATGGCTAGTTGTACATTTTTTCCTCTACTTTCAAATATTGTTGTTAAGAGACCCTTAACTTTACTTGTTTTTGAGATATCGGTGGTGGACCTTTTTACCCGCAAATCTTTAAGCCGCGCTCTATCTTATATATATTTATATATATATATATATATACTCGTATATATATATATTTGTTACATACTCATTGAGGGCTATAAAAACTGTTCAATTATGACCCCCCCCTGACGCCGAAGCTGGATCCGCCACTGATTTGAGGACGCTTTATAAACATACCTTAATTGCCCTCTACATATACATGCATAATATATGTATTAGGGTGTATCTTCATATGGACATTCTTTAATTTTCTTGCTCCCAGGGGCTCAAATACTTGCAAATTAATAAAAAAAATCTCTAGAAGTTTTATCTCTTAATATTGTCTTTTAGATAGTGCGCAATTCAATCATAGATTTGTATGGAAATAACATGGAAAATTTTTCAAAAAATTTAAAAATGTTTTAAATTTATTTATTGCTAAGTTATACCTAGAAAACATTTTCAAAATTCCTGAAAAATTTTTCATGCTATTTCCATACGAAGCTTTGATTGAATTGCGCACTATCTAAAAGTCAATATTAAAAGCTGAAACTTATAGAGCATTTTTTATCAATTTGGAAGCATCTGAGCAAGGAAATTTAAAAATGACCGTATTAAGGACCACCCTAACATATATATATATATATATATATATATATATATATATATTATAGAAAATATGAGTGAGAACGATACAAGAACGAAAACAAAGATTTTTATAAATTAACCTTTAATTCCAAACGTTTCGACATACAATCCGTTGTTATCCATCAGTGGATCTATAAAGTAAAAAAATTGAGAATTTTATATAAACTAGGTAACTATTAGAACTTGCTATAATTTTTATTTGTTCGAACCCTAAATCACCAACTAGTGCAAAACGTACCTCTAATATTGTATACAAAATGAATTTGCAATAACTGTCATTCTACTTATGTAGGCGAAACTGGACAAAATTTGATAAAAAGTCTTGAACAACACGACAATAATTCCAATTCCTAATTTACTATGTCTCAATATCAAAATTAATTACTACATCATATATGACAGATTAAAATTCTGTTAGTAATTTGGTAATTAGTTAAATTTCAATGTAACGGCCATTAGTGTGAATGAATTCAAGAGATGGCAGCACAGTATGTCTAATATCAGAAGACTGTGAAGTTAGGAATAAAATAAGTTGTTTAGTATTTTGTTAATCTGCGTTAATTTCTCTTAGAGTTATTGTGAAAGATACACAGTTATTAAAAGAATATATAGTTTTAGTAGAATTAGCAGCATAATCTCATAATCAAGGAGATCATAGGACTTTAATGTTGAAATATATGATAAAATTTTTGAGGGCGAAAAATAAAAAAAAGGATAAAGT